AGAGATGAGAGAGAGAGTGAGATGAGANAGAGAGAGAAGTGAGAGAGAGAGAGAGAGTATTTTCTGGTTTTTTATGATGTTATTGTAATTTTTCCTTGTTTTACTGGGGACGGAAGAAATTATTAAGAGTTGGCTCAGTGTTTATAGAAAATCTTTTGCTGCTTTAAATTTGTTGTTTTAAATAGAGGTTTAAGGTTTAGCAGCTTGCCAGCAATGGTACTAGGTGCAGCTTTATAAACTGCCTAATTTTAGCATGGATAATGAAGGGGTAAGTGGTAAGAGTTCAGAAGATCATTTTTTTGACTGAACAACTTCAGAAGATCATTTTTTTTAATTGAGTACTTAGTGAGAAGGATCTTTTGGCCGATTTGTACTTTCCATCTATTTTGTTGCATCTCAATTTGTTGATTATTGGTTCCATTAAGGAGACAGATGGCACAATGCCATGCTCATAGCTCACCCCATTAAAAAAAAACGATCTTCTGAACTCTACCATTTACCCCATTAAGGAGAAGATCACACAATGCCATGCTCATAGCTCACCACATTAAAAATAAAAAATGGTCTTCTGAGCTCTACCAGTTACCCCATTATGGAGAGGACGACATTATAGCATGCTCATAGCTCACCCCATTAAAAAAAAAAATAAGAAAAAGAAAGAAGAAGAGTAGAATGTAATGTTCTTCCCCCAAGAAGGAGTAAATTTTGAAGGGTTTTAGACACTGGTTCTAAGGTAAGGGTTTAGTGATTTCTTTTTCTGTTCTACGTGGATTTGATGGGGGTAATCTGATTGGCATTGTTGTTTTTCTTTTCTTAATACGTTAAAATCAATCGGTAAGAGTTTAGTGATTGTCTTTTCTGTTCCTGGTGGATTTGATGGGGGTAATCTGATCGGCATTGTTGTTTTTCTTTTCTTTATACATTCAAATCAATAGAACGTTGACATTTTGAATGCAGTCGGATTCTACATTCTTATGCAAGAATTTCTTTACTGTGTCTTCTCTTTGTCATTTTTTTGGGTTGGCTCTGTGTCCTCTTTGTCATTTTTTTGGGTTGGCTCTGTGTCCTCTTTGTCATTTTTTTGGGTTGGCTCTGTGTCCTCTTTGTCATTTTTTTGGGTTGGCTCTTTGTCCTCTTTGTCATTAGCTTTTCCTTTATTTTGGTATGCGGATCCCAAAAAGTATAGAGAGCTATGACATTCCATATGAGCTGTTCTATGGGAGAAGTGGGTTCTTGTGGGCTTGCGCTTTCTTGAACCATCACATTGGTCCTGGAACAATTTCTTCTGATGTTACTGTAAGGGATTATTTCTCTGTTCTTTTATTGATCATACCTGGGAAGTCTGTGGTCTTGGAACAATTTCTTCATAGGAACAATTTGGTGAAGTTTGGATAGTCGACTCATAATTTTCACTTCTAGAAGGTCCGGATCTAACATCCCTAACTTCAACAAATTGTTCCTATGAAGGCCTCGGTTGGTATTCAACGTACCATTGATACCATTCAAATGCTTCTCCGTCCACGTTAAAAGATGCAATGGTTAGCTATTGATCTGGAGGTACTTGATGATAATTAAAATATTGTTTGGCTTTGAAAAGCCAATCAGCTGGGTTAATTCCATCAAAATGAGGAAATTCTAACCTCATGGTACCCATTTGGATGCCTCCATTGCTACCATATGTTTGCTCAGCTCCAGTGAGAATGTGTGATTGTCCTGTTGATCCTTCAGGGCCCCTAGGTACTCCTCTCCATTCTTCCAATCGGTGTCTAATTTCAGCAAGCAATGCTTCATGTCTTTCAGAAGTTTCTCTAATCACTCCTGGGAGTTTTGCGAGCTAAACATTCGTTGCTCTATCCCCACGTCATGCTCTGCTACCAGATTGTTATGTTCTAAATTTTGGGTCCTCAAAGACAAGGATAAGATAACCTTTTTTTTACCTCGAGCTATGGTGTCTGAGTGTTGAGAGCATTGCTCAAAAGGAAAAAGAACAAAATTAAGGAGGATAATCTCAGAAGGGAGATTGCATTGGCGCAATTTGATAATTCCATATCTCCTTCCTTAGCTTCTTCACATTCTTAAATAAATAAAAAATACCCCACTTGACTACAATACTTCCTACTAAATAGCCATGATCTACTAATAGCAATTGACCTCCTACTAAATAGCCATAATCTACAAACAACAATTGATCTCCTACTAAATAGCCATGATCTACTAACAACAACTGACTCTAACGTTAACCTTAGACTCCAACGGTTACATTGACTTATTCAGTTCAATTAGCTATTCCTACCTACTAGGAACTGACAACATCCCACATGGAACATGGCTTGCATACATGGGAAACAAAAATCAGAAAATAAGTTATCATATCAATGTGGGATGATCACACATTCTCGCTAGAGTGAAAATTATGCCGGTCGACTACCCGAACTTCTCCAAACACATACAGTAATGGAGTATGAAAAAGAGTTCCAAAAGGCTATCTAACAAAGTCAAGGGGCTTTTAGAAGGCTATCTGATTGATGTATATCTCAGTAGATTAAAAGATGGAATAAGGGTTGGAGTTCAAAAGCTGAATCCTACTACCCTTCCTGAAACCTACTACCCTTCCTGAAGCCTTTAGGTTGGCACGACTACAAGAGGAAGAGGTTATTGTAAGGCGAAGATCATTGAGGCCTGAAGTTCCACGACCTAGGCCAACGACAACCACCAGCCCTGTTAAGAATCCGGTACCCGTAATCAAATGCTTAACTCCAGCTGAAGCTAGAGATAGAAGAGAGAAAGGGTTGTGCTACCATTGTGATGAAAGGTTCACTCCCTTTCATAAATGTAAAACCCAACAATTGTTTTGGGTAGAAGGACTACAACAAGATTGAAAAGAGGACGATGATGAACCTGAGTTGAAAGCTACCCGTGAGGAAATAAAAGAGGGAGAAGATCTGGATGAAGCACCCCAAATCTCCTTACACGCAATAGGTGGCACTAGAGCTCCCCAAACCATGAGAATTTTGGGAACATTAAGACATTATCCTCTCACCATCTTAATTGATAGTGGGTCTACGCATAATTTTATTGACCCCATTATCATCCGGAGAGCACAACGACCTACTCAATCTGATGCCACATTTGAAGTGATAGTGGCAAATGGAGAAAGGTCGAAGGGGAATGGACGATGCAAAGAAGTACTCATTCATTCACAAGGAGTCCCAATCAAGGCTGATTTCTATCATTGGGAGCTCAATGGCTTAGAACTTTGGGACCGATCTTCCGGGACTTTTCTTTCTTGTCCATGTCATTCAAGGAGGCAGAAAAAGAGTTATTGTTAAAGGGAATTGCAGCTGCAAATTCACAAATCGTTGGACTCAGCCAAATGACTAAGGAGATGAGGAGGTCGAGTAAGGCCTATGTCCTACAATTTCATAGCGTGGACATGGTAAGCAAGCCAAACTTACCAAATCCAACGATCCAACAGGTGTTAGATGGCTTGGAAGATGTATTCAGCATGCCACAAGCATTGCCACCTACCAAATCTCAAAATCATCAAATTCCACTCATTGAAGGCACCCAACCCATCAGTGTGAGGCCATGCAGGTATCCCTATTTCCATAAAACTGAAACAGAAAAAATTGTTAAAGAATTATTGAATTCTGGACTGATCATGCCTGGTGTATCGCCATTCTCATTTCCAATACTCTTGATAAGGAAAGCCACTGTGAAGGATAAGTTCCTTATACCTGTGATTGATAAATTGTGGGATGAATTAAGGGGTTCTGAAATTTTTACAAAACTAGATTTAAGGTCTGGCTACCATCAAATTCGAGTGAAGAAGGAAGACATTCCTAAGACTGTTTTTAGAACTCATGAGGATCACTATGAATTTCTAGTGATGCCCTTTGGGTTGACAAATGCTCCTTATACTTTTCAGTCCTTAATAAATGATATATTTAGACCTTATTTGCACAAATTTATACACTTCAAAAAAAAATTGTACTAGTCTTTTTTTATTACATTTTGGTGTGTAGTAGAAATTTTTCTTGTGCATTTACAGCATCTAAAGATTGTGTTGGAGGTCTTGCGCAAAAATCAACTCTTTGCTAAGGCAAGCAAGTGTATGTTGGGGAACAGTAAAGTCAACTACTTGGGACACATCATCTCAAAAGATGGAGTTGCAGTCGACCAACAAAATCCAAAGCATGGTGAATTGGCCGAAACCCACATCTCTTCAGGCTTTAAGAGGATTTTTAGGCCTAACAGACTATTACCGGAAGTTTATTAAGGGGTATGGGAAAATTGCAGCCCCCTTAATTGCTCTATTAAAGAAGAATGCTTGGGGATGGAATCATGGTGCAGATCAAGCCTTCCAACAGCTCAAGACAGCCATGACGCATGCCCCAGTATTATCTCTCTCTGATTTTTCTCAACCATTTGTGATTGTGTGTGATGCAAGTGGATCGGGTATTGGAGCGGTTCTAATGCAGACAAGCCGACCCATTGCTTATCTTAGTCATGCCTTACATGGTCATGACCTCTCTCTCTCCACATATGAGAAGGAATTGCTTGCTATCATTATAGCCATTAAAAAATGGAGGCCCTGCATTGTAGGAAGGACTTGTGACTAGAACAGATAAAAAAAAGCTTGAAATTCTTGCTTAAACAGAAAATAAATTGTCATACAACAAGAGTTTACTCTCTTTCCTTGCCATCGATTATTTTTACTTTCTCATTCGAAACTTCATTAATTAAAAGGAAACCATGAAAAGCAGAGTTTCACCAGATTACATGTCAATCTTTCTACACAGTAATGGGATCGTGTGCTTTATGAAACCTGATGTTCCAAATTAGGTGCTGATGGCTAGCTTACTAACAGTTAATTCTGAAATTCTCACGATTTGGATTTGTATTTCAGCTTATCCACAATTTCGAAATCTTGCCAATTATACCCCCTGAAGGCTCCAAGGCCTTTCTATCTTCTACTCTTCAATTTCAAGTGGAAGGTTACTGAAATATCAACGACATTTTAAGTATAAATATTGGTCTAGGTTAAAGGTGATTTGTAAGTGGATTGTTGAATTCTATTTTGGTCTATCAATATTCAACCTTAAAATGATCTACAAAATAAGATCTGGATCATTTGGTTTTTTTATCATATTATGAATGTCTTATTTCCAAGAAATCGTATTTAGTGGGATATGTACTAATATGCAATCATCAACTTCTGAAATGAATGCCTAAAATGGTTTAACAATAATCTGCTAGATCCTGGTTTCCAACTTGCTTGATCCAAATAGGGGATTTATATACTGGGTTCTTCCAAAAGCTACCCAAAAAGCATTGTTGCTAAAATCAGTTTTACATATACTAGAATCTGCATACTCATGCATATCCAGGTTTTGCAAATACCAGGTCTCAAATGACCCATTAGTGTTTTGAGGATCTAACATGTCATTCTCTCTCTCTCTCTCACTCTCTAAAACTCCAAAAATAAAAGTAAAGGTCCTTTGTTTTCTAACTTAAAACCCTACATCCTTGCATATGATGTATATGAGAACACTTTCATCCTTTAGCTCACAATTCCTCCACTCCCTTTTGTAACTTTCTCTTACTTCAGGAGAGAGAGCGAGTTTCCTAAGCAATGAAGGAGTTTCGTGTTAATGGCAGCACTCTGACCCTTGCCCTTTTCACCCAAGCTACCAACAGCAAGTAAGTCATTCCAACAATGGAGAAAACCCCAACTTTGATCTCTTTTATTCAATTATTTGTTCATTTGTTTCATAAAATGTAGGAACTTGGAACAGAAGTAATTGCTTAAAATTTTTGAAATATTTTCTTTTTTTTTAAGAGAAAAAACGGTTTCCATGATTTGAGTTCCATGTCTTTTTTCTTTTCTTAGTTATGAATTCGGTTATTCTGAATTGGGTTTATCATGAAGGTGTCCTGCCTTGGTTTATGTTAACTGGTTTTGTGTAACGTTGCAAATATGGGTTTTAAAGCATGGGAAAACAATTTCGAATTCAATTTACTATTATAGACAACAGGCTAAATTTTTGCTTAATTTCAGTTATAAATCATTTCTATCAATTTATTAAAGAGAACCAAGTTAAATATTTACTGATTATCAGGAAGAGATCTTGTGGTCAATTTGCTAGAGAAAGCCAAGTTAAGTTTCCCAAAATGCACTATAGTATGAATAAGAAGAGATCATTTCATCAATTTATTGGAAAAAATAAAAAGGTTTATGTCACACTTTCAGCAATTTTATGGACCACTGGATTGCATTTTTATCATTTTGCTAAGGAGAACCAGGCTTAATATTTACTTAATATCAGTAAGAGATCATTGGATTAATTTACTGAAGAAAACAAAGTTAAGTTTCAAGTTGATATGAATTAGAAGAGATCATTGCATCAATTTAATAAAGAAAATAGGTTTGATATCTGACACTTTTGCAATCTCATGAATCATTCAATTGCATTTTTATCACTTTGTTAAAGGGAATCAGGCTGAATTTTTACTCAATATCGATGAGAGAGCATGTGATCAATTTACTAAAGAAACCCAAGTTAAGTTTTGACTTAATATGAGGGATCATTTCATCAATTTATTGAAGAAATTCAACTGGAATATGTGACACTTTATGCACTTTCATGAATCATTGGATTGCAGGGAACTTCTAGAATCTATGCAAGCTGGGACTCTCGAACCAGAAGTAGCATTTCTCAATGCATCACTTGTATATTATCTTCCCCAGTGATATGAAAGTAGCCAATCTTGTTTAGTGATTAGTAGGCAACACATTTCCTTTTTATTTGGAGTATTTACTGTGACAAGTTTTTCTTTATTTCTCTGGTTTTTGCTGTCCACTTCTCTCTTTTTAGTCTATGGGTCTTTACTATTTGTTTGGTACTTAATTGAAATTTTTTCCTCCTTTTTTTATGGGAATTTACTGGGTGACTGGTTGGTTTCATACGCTGAGTATGTGCACATTGGTCCCCATGTTCCCATTTCATATTTTTTTTTTTTTCTTTTTTCTTTTTTGGAATACAGGGTCTCTCTCTCTCTC